TTCCACAAACCAGTTTTAAAAAATGTTCTGCTTTATGCAATTGATATGCAAATTCAAGATTTTCATTTGAGAGTAAAGGACTCTAAATCGAGTTCAACACTCATATAATATCACATTAACATTGTTTGTACTTCATATGAGGCGTATAAGTCAAATTAAATATTGGGAATAGTGCCATGGGTTTGTTTAGATGAATATTATTTTATATTATGCTGTCACTGAGCATTGCTGTTTACATCTATTACTTTGACTCTCATTTAAAAGAACAATTCACCCCAAAATTACAATATTATAATAATTTACTCACTTCTAACTTCTTTAGACTTTGTATTATCTTCTTTCTTCCATGATAAAAGTATGATTTATGTGCAACATTTAGTTTTTTGAAGTCATGTGATACCTGAAATTTAATATTTCCCATCATTATATAAGCTACTATTGTAGTTTTCCATGTTTTTTTTTATGTGTGTGTCTTTTTTAGGAGTGTGACCATATAAATCACCATCCATTTTCATGATTATAGAAAACAGAAGCATGGGCATTCTTCTGTCATGTTTCACAGAAAAAAGAAAGTCATACAGGTTTAGATGGATATGAGGGAGAGTAAGTGATGATTACTTTTAATTTTAGCCTGAACGATCGCTTTAATTCCCATACAAAATCAGAGACAGCAGTGAAAATGCTCAAGATTGGCAGGTGCTGAAAACCACAGACCTGAGCTCCATGAAATCCAGTAGTGCTGAACAAAATATCATTTCATTAAAGGTCTACACAACAAAGACAGTATTTATGGGTCAGAACAGAGTCAATGTCCTATTGAAATGGCCTGGCAACCCTTTAGCTGCTCTTTCTGCTATTGTTCAATGCAGCTGCGTAAAGACGTGAACACACGACTGGATAAATAAGACAAGATTGAGTTTAAAAAGGCAGCGGTGGATTATTAAAGGTCACTAAATCTGCCTTGATATGGATTCCCCCAACACTGTGCTGATACTAAACATTTAACAGGGTGATAAAGGCCTCTATCAGTTATGTGTGGTGACTTCTGAAATTAGACAGCAAAGTCTCATGGTTTGACATGGTTTCTGGTTTAAAGGCAAAAGAAACAACTTCACACATTTAACGAGCAACCCATACTATGCATTTTAATCCATGATTAAGTTACATCTCAGCTGTTTCTGAAAGCCATTTCTGCAATGTTTCCTGAAAATGTCTTTTTTTTAATGTTTTAATAACGTTTCACATAACATAAGGGAACATTCCATCACTATCATTCTGCTAATGTTACTTTTGAACATTTTCGGAATGTTCTGAAACAAGAAGTAACATTTAAAAACATTTCAAAAACAATTCAAAAACTAATATTAAAACTTAATTTTTGATTAGTAAAATGCTTTGCTAAGAACTTCATTTAGACAACTTTAAAGGCGATTTTCTCAATATTTAGATTTTTCTTTTGCACCATCAGATTCCAGATTTTCAAATAGTTGTATCTCGAACAAATATTGTCCTATCCTAACAAACCATACATCAATGGAAAGCTTATTTAAATCATGAAAATTGACCCTTATGACTGGTCTTGTGCTCCAGGGTCACAAATGATTAGAAATAAACATTCCATTAATGATATATAAATAACAATTTGTGCTCATTTTTTGAGAACATTATTAAAGGCCTTTGAACAAACATTCTATTCATGTTACTTAAGAACGTTTCTTCATAACTTTGAGAGAACCTTGCTAGAACATTTGGAGAACATTCCCTGTTTGCAAGGATCAAAGTTAATCAAGATTTCTTCAAGTTTTTATGCACTTCTTGCATTGCTTCAAAATAATTTAATACAAGAATGCAGTAACAAGCACATTCGGTCACTTTTAGCCTGTATTCCTCCATTCACACCACACTAATTACATTCTCTCACGCTAATGTGAACATAACGAGCTAAAGAAGGCAAGAGAGATGATTTGCGTGTTAGTGTCACAGTGAAAAATGAGTACTTAAAACACTTTCGAAATATTGGTTTTGCTTTATTTGTGTACTACTTTTTACTGCATTATTGTAGTTTATTTTTTGGAGGATTTGACATGACTTGGTTTTAATAACCCGTATGTTAATATAATCGTTAATAAATGCATAGAACTGGGTGCTTAATGATTTCCCTCCATCATTCTGGAGATCACATTCTCATCCGATTTTTTTCTGAGAAGTCACTGACTCCCTGGCCTCGGAGAAAACGCCCCTGATTTCTATTTTAGATGAAAATAAACTCGTCATCCTGTAAAGCACAATGAATGCTATTAGTCAAGTGTTCTGAGAGGATACGCTGGAAAACGGCACAGTTAGTCACGTTGCCGGTCAAGCGGGAAGTCCTTGAAGCATGCTAATCTCTTTAAACGCTCACAGGATAAATAGTATAATGGCATCACATTTGGACATCCCAAACTGCACTTCATGCCACATGAGATTATTTTGTTGAATTTTTCCAATCAGAACAAAAGCTGTGCAACATTTCCATGTATTTCAAACGCATAAACATTCATTACATTGAACAACATGCACTTTCCAAGAAAACAGCAAGTCTGTTTTTGACTTCAGGACAAACCTCAAAAACAAAACAAGACAGCTCATCTGATCTTTGCATTGGAGAAACAGCCGTGCAAACAGGAAATGAGGCACAAACACGGCCTACAAGTGGACAAAGAACATCTTTGAGGACGAGAAGCCAGTGTTTCCCCTCTGCCCCGACTGAAACCCATACATTCCCAGAGTGGAATGGGCTTTTCTCGGGAACTCAAAGCCTGTTTGTATCTCGCATCTGTTTGACTATTCATCTCTGCGGGGAGAGACTGGCTTCTTATCAGAGCACCGCAGACCTAGTCAGCCCATCATATCCGTGCTGGAAATACACTGAACTTCCAGTAACCGCCCTCGCCCTGTGAGAAATGCTGCTAAACGTCCTATGAATATATGCATAATTCTCTTGAGTGACTACCAAACCCTTCCTCTTTCTCTTCCGCCTTCCTCTTCTATCAAGAAGTCAATCTCTTAGCATGCTGCTGATAAATCAAATTTCATCATTAGGCGATGCGCTATAAGCGTGCCATTCACAAAACGCGGATCATCAAGGCTTTTGCAGATGCTGCAGGTCGAAGCAGCGACACTATCTAATTCTATCATGATGCGCTGATATGACAAGGTCACCTAAACCCGTCTAAACCAACCTCAGAGTCACCTGTAAAAGAGTGAATCGCGTGGAAATACCAGCAGGTCATATCTGACCCCAAAATCATATTAAAAAAATACTGCATTAAAATCATTGAATGCAGACACTACTTTGCAGCTCCTTTATAATTCCTATTATTCTTATGTGTGATATATAAATTCTATGTTAATGTTTTAATGCATTATTGTGGGAAAAAGCAAATGCTAGCATGAAATATAAATGTCATTGCTTTTTGGCATTAAAGTAATGAGAATTTGAGAGGGAAATGTGCATAATTGTCATGAAAATATGTCATTTTCTTTATGCAAAATCTAAAAATATGGCTGAAGTGTGACTTTGGCATGTTCGCTTACAGGTTTCACGCAAAAGACTTTAAAACCAAACATATAACCATGGGGGTCACAATTAAAGTCAAATTATGATTTTTACCCGTTTACAATTATGCAACATCCTCACTGTGTGCACAGAATTTGCAAAAAATCATCCATAACATATGGATGAATCTTGTATGTTCTCGTCATTACAACTTGTCGTTTTCTTTATGCACAATCGAAAAATAAAATGATGATTTTTACCTGTTTACAATTATGCAACATTCTCACTATTTGGCCAGAATTTGGAAAAATAATCCAGGCGGTTGAATAAATTTCCACCAAATGTTTCAATCTTGTATGTTCTCATCATTAAAATCTGAAATTTTCTATATGCAAAAAAGGCTGAAATACAACTTGGATGTGTTCTTTTACATGATTTATAACTGCACAAATAACCATGAGAACCACAGGCAAGGTCAAATAAGATTTTTACCCGTTTACAATTATGCAACGTTCTCTCTGCGCTGCCAGAATTTGCAAAAATCATCCACAACAACCGATGGATGAATAATCTTTCACCAACTGTTCCTATATCGTACATTCTCATTAAAATTTTCTTAATGCAAAATCTAAAAACAAGATGATTATTGACGTTCGATTATAGCTTTCAACCAAAAGACTGCATTACCACACTGTAAAGAGCAAATAACCATGAGGGCCACAATTAAAGTCAAATATGATTTTCACCTGCGTATGATTATGCAACATTCTCACGCAACATTCAAAGATTATCCTCAGCAACTGATGGATGAACAAATTTCCAGCAAATGTTTCTGCAGGTAGCGCATGTGAAATGCATGCATGGAGTGAGATTAGAGAAGGCTTTAATGAAGAGTGTCATATGAGAGGGCGCATTAATTCAGCGCTGTGACTTTTGACCATTACAGCACAGTAAAGTAGATTAACCACTGAAACCGAACACTCCATCAGAAGAACAGAGAGGCAGGGCTGTGAATGTATTTTCCCATCAGAGGAAAATGCAGTGACGTGCATGAGACTCGTAAAAACCTGATCAAATAGAGGCCTATTTTTAAACTGGTGGGACGGGTTTGATCGGAAGGGGGGAAAGGTGTGATAAAATTGTGAATGAGAGCCGGTGCCATAACACAACAAAATGAAACGCTAGCACAACAAAAACACACCCATCGGAGGGGAGCGTTTGATTGGAAGGGAACCAATGACAGCTATTCTTTATGGATTAGTTTCATGGAAGTGCTGCTTTTGGACACAAGTAGTCTTTCATCCGTCGATCATCACTGGAACGTTCCATTCTGTTATTATTACAAGAAAGTGCAAATAATAGTTTCCACAAACACATTAGCACAGATCATTCTGAATTATGACTTCCAATTTAGACAACAAATATCCATGAGGGCCACAATTAAAGTCAAAGACGGTTTTACCTGTTTACGATTATGCGACGTCCTTACTGTGTGGCCAGAATTGGCAAAAATCATCCTCAACAACTGAATATCCACCGACGGATGAATAAATTTCTACCAAATGCTTCTATCTCGTATGTTCTCGTGTATCCAGGAGGGTAAAGTTGTATCTGTGGCTCTACAAACCATAGAGAGCGAGCAGCGCTGTGATAGAGTCTCACTTTGACGTATCTTTAAGACCGAATTGTTGCGGGGGAGAAATAATAGGTGTTGCAGAAGGGTGAGCAGCATATATCCCACGGACGCTCGCTGTAGTCAGCTTGCTCAGCCTGTCTGTTTCGCTCAGTTCATTGATCTGCGGTGACTTCTCCACAGAACTACACCTCCCACTATGGAAGAAACCACTGGGCTCTGTTTAGAGGGGGGACGTGCACACAAACAACACTCAAAAACATCACAAAACAGACTCTTCGCTCAAATACTAATGCATATTGCAGGTTAAGCACGCTTGCATGCATTTACAAGCACTATTTAACGTGCACAATGCTCTGGTTTTTAAGCGAGGGGATATTACATTTCATCATCTCCCCCTTTGGCTACTCTTGGTTTCCTTTGGCCCGCATACTTCACATTCCTGAGTGAGTCCATCAGGTTTTGTGGTTTTACAATTTCATTTGTGCTATACAAACTGACTTGACTTACTGCGTTTAGGACGAGAAGCCAAAACAAGTGTAAATGGCCTAATAAACAATGACAACCCGACTCTCCTCTACGGTTGGAAGACCTGGTTGTGTAGTTAGGGTGAAATTTATGAAAACATGTTCAGGTCAAGCTTAACCTTATATTATATTTTGCATTAATTAAATGAAGCGTATTGTAGGAGCATTAAAGCTTTTTTGCATTGCGACAGAATTTTCATGGCAATTAGACACAGATGACCTTAGGAGTGCTTGACTTTTTTTACATTTATTTTTAATTAAAGTGATTTTATTAAATGATATTTATTTACAAATATTTATATTGCACTACATTTAATCTAATATATAATTATGTATGTATATGTGTGTGTAAATTATTAAAATATTACATTATATGATATCGAATTATTATATTAAATTATATTATTATATTTTACTTATAAATATATTATATAAGTTATATTAATTTGCGCTTGGGGTCTTTCGGCAAACCGATGAGCTCGACCTCCACTCCGGTTTTCACGTGCTTCTCCGACAGGAACTGACCGGAGTAAATCTGGACACAAGATGCAGTTCACATTAACAATTCAAGAAAGACGAGTTCAAATGAGACGTGGAGAAAGTCACTGATAGTGAAAAGACTGCACAATGAATTTGTGGAAATGGAAATTTATGTTCTTAATAGTCTGTGTAAATTATTAAGATCAATTAAATAATAAGTTCATGTATATATATATATATATATATATTAGTTCTGTCAAACGATTAATCACATCCAAGCCAAAAAAAGAGATAAAAACCTGACTAAATATTTAAAATACAGGGGCAAAAAAGGGTCACTGTAATCAATTGATGCATTTGAGACAACAAAAGCATTAAAAGTTTTTCATTTAATTAATACACAAGAAAGGATGCATACAGTTGATCAAAAGTGACAGTAAAGATATTTATAATGTCATAAAAAATCTATTTCAAATAAATGCTGTTCTTTTGAACTTTCTATTCATCAAAGACTCTTGAAAAATAAAATACTTCATGGTTTCCACAAATATATGAGGCAGCACAGCTGTTTTTGACACTGATGATAATCAGAAATGTTAGTTGAGCAGCAAATCAGCATATTAGAATGATTTCTGAAGATCATGTGACACTGAAGACTGCAGTAATGATGCTGAAAATTCACTTTTGCATCCCAGAAATAAATTACACTTTAACATATATTAAAATATAAAATGGTTATTTTAAATTGTAATAATATTTCACAATATTACACATTTTACTACAATTTTTGAACAAATAAATGCAGCCTTGGTGCAATGTCATAATGTATTCTAGCAGAGCATTTATTGTGTGCTGCGACCTTGAGCATCCTGACCCTTAGCTTAAGCATTCGGACATTTTCAAAACAGACAAAGTGTTACGGATGAATTTTAAAACGTTACATAAGAAGAGAGGTGGAATAATGTGGTTTTCTGCACTCAAAGGACACTCAGGGTCATGATGGTGACCTGCTGGCACCTTTCACTCTGCCGTGTACGTGTCTGTATGAATGATGGCAGCATGTCAACAGGCAAATTAGGTAGCAGAAAGGGTATATATATATATACACACACACAATAAATAGTTTCTTGAAAATAAATGCAATTATATATATCCACATGCATACAAATGCAAGTTAATGGCACATAAATGCTCAGTCCCAGATGGCACGCATTTTCATTTGTAACCACTATGAGCCAGTTCGGACTTCACAGCTGACTATTACCTAAAATGTAGACTGGGAAGAGGACTGTGAGAGGGAGCCATTTGGAACGGGACCAAAGTCTAGCACGATCATCCCAAAAGACAGAAAGATAGAAAGTGAGAGTTGGTTCACATAAAGCCTGGTACAACGTGCAGAGATATTTAGAAATGCCCTGTCAAAATGATTGACTTAAAATGCAAAATATTGAACACAAACTCAACTAAAACAACTCTTATCTTTCTTTTATTAGTCTTTAACTTCAGACATTTACACTCTTAGCAGGAGATTTCTTTACTATATCAACTTGCCATTTTCAGAAAAATTCAAGAAAAGAAAAACATAATTTACGTTATCAGTGAAAAATAATTTTCATTGAGGAAAAACACAAGGGAGGAATTGATTTTATCCGCCAGGAACCGACTGCATCGTAAAAAAAAAGTGTGCATCGAGAGCTAAAATAAATGACATCGTCCGAACTGGAGAGTCGTTTTAGAAAAAGTTACATTTAGATAAAAGATTAAGAAGCCAAGTCAAATTGATCTGTACAGTGCTTTTCACAATACACATTGTTTCAAAGCAGCTTTACAGAAAATCCAGATGTTCATAATATCTTAATATCTTCATGCCATATATGTGCGTTTAGCAGATTAGAGTTGGACGATAATATTAGGGATGCACCGAATGTTCGGCAACCAAAATTATTCGGCCAAAAATAGCAAAAAGGCCGAATAAGTGAAAAGACTGAATAAATTGTACCAAACAATGATATGACACGATCAAATAGCAACCAGCGCAGAGTGAGAGGTGCGCACTCTTTATAATGCAGCACACACGTCAGCAGTGTGGAAGCATTTAAACTGTCAGAGAAAGACGCAAAAATCATTACAAGCACCGACAGCGAGAGACTGTTTAGTGCTGCATCACATCTCTTCGATGAGAAGAGGAAGGGTGATTGTTGCTGGTTACTGTATGATGATTGAAATCGCGAAATGGCCTTGAACAATTAGTAAATAAACTGCGGAACGTTATGTTTTCTAATACACGCACAAAATGCATGTATTCTGACAGCTGCACGAGCTCGCAGCAGATCTGCTTGTTAACCAGGGTCAAAAAGTCTAAAGCGTGAGGAAAATCTGCGCTGATACAGTCGTATCACATTTTTATGAATTTTTACAAGGCATGTGACAATGCGATACGTGTGACGTATTCGTAATGGGACTCATTTATAAATCTGTGGTCAACAAAAAGAAGCACTGTAAAACCAAAATAAAAGTTGAGAAAAAGCAAGAACTCTTATCAACATTCATAAATGTTAGTATTGTAATTTTACTGTTGTTCTGTAAAATAAAATAAAAAGTAAGACAATAATAATCATTACAACAGCTGTTAATATATTAATTATAACATTCACACATATTGTTCAAATTAGGATCTGTAATATTTTCTAATGTTTTAAAAGAAGTCTCTTCTCAGCAAGGCTGCTTTTAATTGTACAGTAAAAAAAAAAAAAAAAAAAATACATGCCTGATTCAAGAAG